TTGCTTCTACTTCTGCTTGAAGTTAGAGCATGGCCATGTTTATACAAGCCATTAAACAAAGACACTTCAGGACAATCAGTGTGATTAGCACTTTCTATCATTTAGTAAATAAGAACATTAACATGCTCTTAATATTACTTATTATTTCTCCACTACTACAACCGCATTTGAATATGGGCATGACTTCTTTTAGATACCTGTGCTTTGACAAAGTAAGGTAATATAATTCCAGAATTTGGCATCTTTATTCCCTTCAGATGATGTATGCTTTCATAACTTAAACTGAGAAAATACAGTCAAAAGGTTTGTTTTTTTTTTCCTTTTTCAAGTAGTACACTGTCACTAGATTTTACTATTTATACAAACTAGGCAAAGAGACAATAGAAGATTAACTAAAAAAAAAAAAAAAAGTAGAGAAAAAAACTTAGTAATTCTTTCTTTTTCACTCTGTAGTATGGCAACACATTTCCCAGTTGAAAATAAGACAAGCATGTACTGCTGACAGATCAAAACACACAGTATGGAAGACTTTACTTAGAATCTGTCCAAGGTAGAAGTGTTCCATACAGTGCTCAAAAAAAAAAAAAAAAAAATACAGTGAAGTGTCTCTTCTGCTAACTATATTCAGATTTGGCTCTACCTTGTTTCAAATAAAGACATGAACAGAGATTCAAATATAAGCATATTCATTTTTTTCTGACATCAACAATCAAAACAAAACCTTACTAAGTGTCTTATTAAACAATAGATGCAAAATAAATCTCTTTGCAAATTTACACCACCCATTTTCTTCACATCACCTGAGAAGTCATTTACCTCTGAAATACTACCTGTGTTGTTAAAAAAAAAAAAAAAATTCATTTCTAATGAATTTTTTCCACTTCTAAACACATATGAAAACCAGTAAAGCTTCTTCCATCTTTTCTCATGATTTTTTTTCCCCTGCATCAGAAAATGTATTTCATGAAAGCAAACTTGAAGATAAAAGGAAAAGGAAAGACAATTTACTTTACAAAAAACTAGAAACAAGCTTTTGGAGCCATTTGTATCAGTTGATCTCCTATTCCATAACTGGTCCCAAAGCTAAAAGGCAGCTTTCACTTCTGGCCACCTCAAATGCTCTGAAAGAACAAAGTCAACTCAAATCCCAAGTGCTCTACAACCTTCAACATGATTCTGTCCCATCTGTGGCTGTTAGGTAGGGTGGGATGGGTCATAGAACAAGGATGGTCAACAGTCATCATACAGGAAAGCAAACAAACATTAGCAGATAAGCAGGAAAACACACTGATTTGTACAAGTGAGGCAGACTCCACCTCAGTGGAACATCAGGAGGAACATTTTAAACAAACTGTATGTAAGTGGTACACACCTACAAGCTCTGAGGGAGCTGGCTGGTGTCAGGACAAGGCCTCTGCTGGCTTTACTACTATTAACTGCAAGCTTACAAGGCCAAATTCTGGGCCACCACACCTGTCATTATATACTGTACATTTTAAGGGAAAGCTTCCTGTTCTATCATGTTATTCAATTTGCCTGTTTCATAGTTCAGCAACAGAGACAGATCTATTTTCCTTTTATGTGAGCAGCTATCATAATAAAGCAGTAAGTACCAGTAAGTAGTTCCTGATCAGCTCAGCAGGATACATGGGGGGGAGGGGGGGGGGGGAAAAAAAAAAAAAAAAAAAAAAAAAAACAAACAAAAAACACTACTCCAAAATACATAAAAATGAAACTTGTACAAACAAAATTCAAACTGACAGGGCTCAACTTTCAGGCTTTTTTTTTTCATTAAATAAATTCTTAGAAGGCACACCACTACTGCACCCATGCTTCTTCAAATTATCCCTAGTCATGCTATCAAAGATAGCTGTCACCACAGAGCTTTCATATTTTAAAAGTTACCTACAGCAGATGATTAAACCGCAATGAAAGGAAGTGTGGTGAAAGATGATCTTTCTAGTCATTCCAATTTCTGCTTTATTTTTCTAAGCAGTAGTATCATCTGTCTTTCCATGGTTGGTACACAAGAGATCACATCCAGTGCTCCTGAGGCCATGATCTTTGCTAGCTGAAGGAAAGTAAAGCATTTCTCTCTGTCACAATATTAATTACAGATCTATAGCTATATAGCAAGAGTGAATGCTTAGCTAAACTGCACTTCAGGTCCACGCTAATGCAGCAGTGTTTAGTCTTCCTAAATTCCACCCCTGCTTACAGAAGACTCAAAAAAAAAAAAAAAAAAAAAAAAAAAAA